TTATTCATCTTTCCACTTTTCATGCAGGCAAATATATCATGATGACTACCTTTCCTCATGGAAGTTACATTTGCTCAGTTTTCCCATTCAAAGAAACTTTTGTTTAGCTTTCAAACTTTGATACAAAATAAAACCCAGGAAAATGCATGCAGCTTGGGAAAAAGACAGAGATCTGTGTGCAGTTGCAGAACTACAGTCTTGTTGGGATGACAGAAACATCACTAAGTATTGCAATGAGGGGATAAAGGATTTTTAGGAAGAACAGTATAGGAAGGCAGGGAAGAAGAGTTACCCTTTCTTTAAGAGAGAAGCTGGAGCGAACAGAGCTCTGCCTGGGGATTGATGAAGCTAGGCAAGCTAAAGCTGAGGTGGAATTGCATCTTGAAAGGGATTTCAAAGAGTTAATAGAGTTAAAAGTTGATTGTAAAAAGATATTTTTGACATCTGTGTTTGAAACTTAGCATCTGCATCAACTGCAAATGTCTACAAAATTTGTTCTAACTTTTAAAAACTCCCATAGAGCTTCTTGAAACTGCCTGCATTTATGGCCAGTTCAGAGAAGAGTTGTATAATAGCAGCTGCATTTTCATGCATTACGTGAGTTCTCCTCATTTATGTCTAATATGTAGAAAATGTTATAATTTTCCAGTTTTACTGATACTCTTATGTTTCATAGAGTTCACAGAGAGAAACTGAAAGGGTCATGAAAGTGATGTTCTCTGTGACTGCAGGCAAGTCAACTAGTGTCACACAGTAAGTCTGAAATACTAACCAGAACTCCAAAACACAGTATTTTGTTTTGCTATATATTCTTCCTCTTGTACAGATCACCGTTCCCCTCGTTAACCCGATGCTCTTAACACTGCAAAACCTGAGTACCCAATGGATTTGACACCTCTCTGGAAAAAAGCATTCAAGACACAAGTACTAATGATTGGTTTTAAAGGTTCCAATGTGATGAGAGTTTTCAATGCATTTTCACCTTTGTACACCCCAAAGCCAGTGACACCCAGGTTAATCAATGTCTTGAGATTTAATCAGAAAGTGTTGAGAAACAAGTTCTGCAGTGTGATACAGATAAACAACAGCCTAATGTTGAAGTGGAAAGCAGTGCTTCACAAAGATTCAAGAAAATTCAAAACTGGATAGGCAAGGCAGACAGAATAAGGCAGACCAAAAAGCCTATAAAGATCAGTGACTCACCTTTAATTATCAGCAAATGTTTAGCAATCAAGAATGGTTCAGCAGTAATCTTTATTTCTAAGTGGGAACTGGTGATAACAGTCTAAGGAAAATAACCTTTCTGGACTGTAGAGTCAGAGTGAGAAAAGCACCAGCATACAGTCCTTTTTCACTCCTGCCTTTCCTATGTCCCCAGCACTGGCAACTCCCAAGGTCCAGCCTCTTTAAGGGAAACTTATCCTACCCTTTTGGTTACTCATCTTAGCCCTCATGGTCTAGAAGGCAATTCCAAGCTTCCAGCTGCTTTCTTTTTTCTCTGTTTCTTCAAGGAAGTCCCGACCCTGAGGTCCTCACATGGGGCACCACTGTGTAAAATGTCTAGTGGCTTATCCGGTTCTTCTCCTTGGGGTTGGGATTAACGAACGAGAGATGGTATTCTTGTTCGGACTCAGATGTTTATTATTTCTTATCTATATCACAGTCTATATTATTTATATTATATCTTATCTATATTACAGTCTCACAGCACACCAAGCTAACAGACTAAACATGGAGCCCCAGGTTTCTCTCTACAATGCCTTCTAAATGTAAACTGCCCAATTATAAAATGCCAACTAATTTATTTTTACTTTCAACCCAATAACCAAGCACCTGTGTTCTACATTGCGGACCTTTCCAACTGATCACACAATATCACCCAAACCCATGAAGAAGGTGAAAAAGCAAGACAAGCCTACACCCTAAAACTTCCATCTTGCTACATATATATAACTATATCCCAAAACCTTAAACTCTGTATTTTCTACCATGTGATATAACACACTTCTATTCAAACTACACACCCACAATCTCAGTTCTGTCATTCAATTTTGGAAGCCTTTCCTACGACCTCAGGTCAAATACAGTGTTCTTCTGCAGGACAGTGCCTGGTCAGCACATAAAGCCTGAAATTCTCTGTGCCCAGGGTTCCAAAACTCTGTGAGTGAGGCAACATTTGGAATGTATTGAGCACTGTCTTGGTGAGGATGACGAGTGAGTTGAGGGCCTGTGGGTTTGGATAAAACAACAGACTGGTAAGGGTGATGCTGTTGTGGATGTTGGCTACAGATTGCCTGGTCAGAAGGAGGATGTTGATGATGCCTTCCACAGGCAGCTTGAAGCAGCCTCAAAGTCACAGGCTCTGGTTCTTGTGGTTTTAACTACCCTGAAATCTACTGGAGAAGCATCACAGTGAAGCGCAAACCATCCAGGAGGTTCCTGGAAAGCCTTGATGACTACTTCCTGACACAAGAAGTGGACTATCCCACAAGGAATGGTGTGCTGCTTTGTCTCGTACTAATAAACAGAGAAGGCCTTGTTGGAGATGTGAATGATGGGCAGAGCTTTGGCTATAGTAGCCATGAGACTGTGGAGTTCAGTGAGGGGAAGGAAGAAGCAGGGTAAGATTGTAACCATGAACTTCAGAAGAGCTAACTTTAGCCTCTTTGGGGATCTCCTTGGATGAATCCCGTGAGAATGAGACCTGGAGGAAACCAAGGTCAAAGAGAGCTGGTTGATATTCACGGATCACTTCCTCCAGTCCCAAGAATGTTAAATCCCAGTAAGAAAGAAATCAGGCCGAGGGGAAAGAAGCCTGTGGATGGTCAAGGAACTCCTGTCATTACTTACATGTAAGCAGGAAATACACAGGAAATGGAATCAGGGTCAGGACACTTGGAATGAATACAGAGAGGTTGTCACACTAAGTATAAATGAGATGAAAATGGTCAAGACCCATCTGGAGTTAGAGCTGGCCAATGCTGTCAATGACAACAAGAGGGGCTTTTTCAACCCACTGTGATCCCTTCCAACTTTACCCATTCTGTGATTCTGTAACATGAACTTACCTCCAAAGGAAGATACCAGTACAACAGCACCATACTGCAATCTGTTTTTTTCCCAGAATATTATCATTAATTCCCATTCTAAAGGATTGTTCATAAAATTTAGTGCCACTGAGAATCAAGCCCAAATTATCAATCAAATTCTTTATTTACATCTCTCGTCTATTATAATATCTCTAAAATTAAAGGACTCTTGTTTTTTAGGTTTTGATACAACACAATTAGATATCAGGGCTTTCAATAAATTGTAGTTTTAAAAGGTTAAGACAGCATTAAAAATGATTAGTATGTCAGGAGAGTCTAAGCAGACAGCTCTTTAATAACAATGGACAGGGAATTTAAAGAAAAATACTTCAGAGAAGTAAATGGATATTCTTTCCAGCAGAATGATTTCTTTAAAGACAAAAATCCAAATTACGCACGTCTCCTCTTTTTGTTTCAAAAGAACTACTTTGAAGGTAAAATACAACTACCCAAAGCAATTAAGATGAGAAGATGACTGATAGAGGAAAAGAATTCTCCAAGGGCCAACTATGTAAGACTGAAAGAATTATTAAGTCAAAGCATAATCATCTATTTTCCCCTGGATTATATTTATTTAATACAAACATAAAGGTGTGCAGAACAGATGAATGGGCTACTAGAGAAGGTGAAGCAAAAGCTCTCAAATGTTATTCTTTGGAGAGCATCACCACTATCAAAGAGAACTGTTTGTTGTAAGCCAGTCTTGAATTCAAACAGACACCTGCTTAAATTTTCCATGGCTCTGTGAGCAGCTACTAGAAAAGGAGAAATCAAATGTTATAAAACCTAGTCTACAACAGTAGTGCTTCCCAGACTCCAGTCTTGGTTTTAGCAGTTGTAGAACTTTAGGTAACCAGGTGACAAAGGAAGGAATTTTTTCTTTAATTTTTACTTTTGGACTACAGTTACTACCCTAACTCTTGTCTTTATTCTGAAAGAGAGGAAGAAACTGAGCTTCCTCATGTCTCCATTATGCACTTCCCATGAGACGAAAAGCATACTATGTGTCAGATTTTGATATGTGAATAAAACTGTTCATAAGGTGGTAAGTTCTACAAGATGCCTTTCTCATTCCTTTGCTCCAAGAGTCAGTTTATTAATTTGCTTTTATGAAACTACTTATTTATGAATTCTTCTTCAAAAAACCTGAAAATCCTAGACAAGCAAGAGGAATCTTTAGGAAGCTAAATCTGCACAATGTTCCATGGTTCCACTACAAAGATAAGAAATCATTTGAATGAAGCATTTTGCATCATAACCCCAGCTCAACACTTTTGGTGCAGAAATCTGGGATGTTTTGGGTTATTGGTTTTAAATGCCATTGCAGAAAACAGGAACATATTCTTTCATTCATATTTCCTCACCCAGTGTACACATTAATAGACAGTCTCTGTACTTGCCTTTGGTCATTTATAATGCCCTAATACTAATTGAAAAATAACTCACAAAGACTTCCTATTTTATTACCCATCTCACTTCACTAAGTAAGTAGATTTCCTCTAAGGCCTCACATAAAAAATGAAGAGGACACACTTTGTTTCAGCTCCTGGTGACAGGCATCAGATGTTCCTCTAGGAAACCCTTGATAGGAGCACAGCAAATTTTTTCAGAGGCCTAACTGATGGATGCACAAAACAAGATAAACTGAGAGCAGAGCTTTCAAGAGGAAAAAAACATCAGTGGGCTTCAGGGAAAATGGTGTTTCAGGCTACCTGTGTTTTTATAAATTGTAGCTGGGAATAAAAATTTAAGGTAATGTGGAGAAAATATTATACTCCCTGCCACAGTTCATTAAAGTACCATGCACAGAGCAAGCAGCTACTTATGTGACTGAACAGATCCTGCTCCTCCACATTTTACTTTCATTGAGAAAAAACGACTTCAGTGACTTTGAGTGTACTGCTCACATACCTTTCCTGGCTCCCTTCTGTGATGTGGTAGAGATGATTGGCACCTCCATCAGCACAAGCTCTCAGGGCAGCTGCAAGTCAAGAAAGAGAACATCAATGCATTTGCATTATAAACAAAAACCCACAACCAGCTGACAGTGCTGTGTAAACTTAATTGTTCATAGTGGCATAGGGAATAAGCTTGAGATATTGTATGGCTTTTAGCTTCCTGTACTTGACTGCTTTCCTGTTTCTCTAAACAGAAATTTGAACTGTTTTTATCAGACTAGTGCCAATCTTCATCTGACTGTGCCACCATACTTCCAAATAGCTTATTTGTATCTATCTGAACCTGCTGCCCAGCCAGCTTAAACTACAAGACAGGTAACTATTAAAAACCTGAAAAGGCCCACCCTCCACCTATGGATGGATTCTCCACCTTGTCACAAGTGGGAACTTGCACTGTAAACACAGCTATCTTCTCACCCAGGCAGAAAGTTCCCTATGTTGCCTCTACAGCAACCTGCATAACAGCTGGGAAAGAAAAATAACCAAGAGTTAATCATGACAATACCCTTTTTCTCTTTTTTTTCCCCCCCTCCTATGACACAAAAATGGTAACTTTATTACAGTTCCTATATTGTTCCACAGACTGTTTGAATCTTCTGACATAAAGTAGTTGGTTCAGGTCTTAGCTTTGAATCTTGGACTATCCTGGTACAAAACCACAATAATTTTCAGCACTTCCACCTAACATGGGGAGCACAAAGGGCATGTGCCACTAATTTCAGTTGATTTAAACAAGCAGAGACATGCTGTTCTCCTGTGATCCTTTTGTTTATACAGACTTAAGTCAAAGAAAAGAGACAAGTCTAACACTATTATTACAAAATGAAACATAAATTGGTATCTTTTATTCATAAGCTTCCCTATTAATCATCATTTCACTAACACACAGCTCTTTCATGAGGTTTTTAAAACCTGATAAGCTACTAAAGATTGAAAATGACCATCTTGTCTTAGCAGTCTTTATCAGTTTTGCTCCGAGATGCACAAGTTAGATAACTGTAGCATACAAGATAAAGGAAGCTACTGCTTCCACACTAGGGCAGAGTGTTCCTTCCAGGCAAAGAGAGACTGACTGGTAATCCTGAAAGGGCTGAAAGAACCACAGGGCCAGGGGGGAAAAAGAGGAGAGACAAGTAAAAAAAGGTACAAACAATCAGATCAGGCATTTTTTGCTGCTGAGAATCCAATTTTCAGCTAAAGCCAGTTTCCTTTGGTGTTTGTTTTTCAGTCAGAAGCACCCCTCAGCAATGACACAAACCTGTATCTTTCCTTTTGGTGTACATTTGATGGGCAATCCACCTCTCCCCCTACTTAGCCAGCTTTTACAAATAGGGAGAACAGCTACCACTGTAGCTGCTCTCATCTTTAAGTCATTGTTCCTTATGTGGGAAGTTCCTCTTTCTGAACTCTCACAGGAAGTATTTGTAAGTTAATATCTACTGTGCAGTACCATGTGACTTTGGCTGAGGATTTATTTTTTTGTAGTGGGGGGGGAGGGAAGAAGGAAGCAGGACAACACAAAAGCTGCCAGTTCATCACAGGTAACTTTGGGTAGCTCAGCTTTTTTTCCTTCAGGCTGAAGCCATGAGCAGAGCAGGAGAACAAGCACTGTACTCCTCTGTATAGCTTCTAGCACAGCTTCTGCTCCTGCTCTCACTACTGCCCTCAGCCTTCTTATACAGACCATGCTCTTCTCTGTCTCCTTACACCACTTCACCCACTCCTTATAGCCTCCACTCAAACACATATTAACAAGCCAAGGTCAAGCAGATTTGATCCTGAGAAATCTTACTAGCTGAAATAATTTCTAGATTATTCTAGAAGCTTGCCAGACACTTACCATGGCGATCCAGTGCTCCAGGCAAGTGCCTCATCCAGTTTGATGAATACAAAGTCACAAACAAGAACAACACTTTTGTCCAGCTGTGTTTGACCGGAAGATTTTAACTTCTTTCACTTGAGGTTACAGCTGAAAACGGATTGACATACTTCCTTTCACCTGGACATGTCTGTTGTCTCAGGGAGTTCAGCTCACACAGAACACAGTAAAGGCCCATTGCAAGGAGAGTGTGCAATACCTGTCCTTAAGTCAGCTATCCTGTCCACTGGCTTATTTAGCAGATAGAAGGCATCTAAGCAAGATCTAGGACCTAATGCACATGACCTGCCTAAAGGATGTTTCCCAAACATTCCCTGACAGTTACAGCTTTTTTCTTCTGAAAACAGTGAATTTTCCATCTATCCTCCCACAAAATAAAATACAAAAAAAAAAAAAGAAAAAAAAAAAAAGAGAGCTTATAACTTCTGGAGAAAAGAAAAAAAATGGGATGAGATACATAAAAAGAGATTAAAATCTATTATCGGTCTCAATTATTTTAACACAGCCAGAGCCTTAACTATTGTACATTCTCTCAATGGAGTTACCTCAAGTGAAGCCTGGCCTAAGATAGCTTCATCTGATCTTATAGTTTTAAAACATGCCCAAAACAACCAAATCAAACTAAGCAAAACAAATCAGTCTTCAATCAGTCTAGTATGTATAAAAGTACTGAGATTCTCCCAAAGACAGGAAGATGCCTATGTGACAGATCTGACACTTCAATTTTTTTCACACGGATATGGTGCTACTATTTGATGTCTCAAATCAAAAGAGTTGCCTTATAGAAAAATAAAATAATAAACTTCTGTAGCATTATAAAGTTATTTGGAGAAACAATTTATGAGGTACTGATCCTTTACCAGCAAGTCAATAACTTACACTGAAATCAACCAAAGCCCCAGTTGCATTAAGGAACTAGCAGGTAATTAACAGATTGGCTGGAGGCCAATAAATCATAATATTTCTACAGCTATGAACTAAGCTTTGCTTGACAAAAAGTAATGATATATGTTAGCTGTAAGAATTATGTATCATTACTATCTGGAAGTGTTTAAGGAGATAGTCAGCAATTCTAAACTTACAGTTTGGATGGAAAATTCTCTGTGTAAAATAACAGGAACTGATTTTACACAGGGCCTTTTATATTAGAAACAAAATTGCTTTACAAACAATAATTTAGCCAAAGTGCACCATGGCAACTGCCTAGGCAAATCCAACAGTCTCTAGGCACTTTGCAACACCTCACATGAAACCTCATTAATTATTTCAGCAGAAACTGAAGGACCTGAACAGGATTTGAGCTTTGTTTTGCTTGACTTGGCATCCTGAAAAGAGAAACACCTTCTTCTGAGACGTTTTCAGTTTAAACAGATAAAAAAAAGTAAATTAAAAGGTGGAAAGCATCACACAAGAAGCGCTAAAGTTTACAAATGGGTCAAAGGCAAGTTATCTTCCAGGGCGACAAAAGTGGATGGTGGGACTTGTAAAGTGAAAAATATCTTAAGTGAACAGCCAGAACAGCAAATGCTCTTACTATCTCTTCTGGCCCAAAGGGTACCATCACATTATGGCAGACACCCCAGATTCGCTGCACGTGGAAGTCCACTCTTGCTCATGCATGTCAGAAGAAAACTAAGTCACCCTTATGTAAGTGCTAGAGGCAGGTAACCCTGCCTTTGTGAATTGAGACGTACTATGGAATGGTTGTCCAAGTAGCTCACTGAGCTCTGCTGGGTCAGGAGGACCAACACCTCCAGAGAAAACTGTGATATGCAATTGGGAGCTGTAGCTTTTCCACCCACAGCTGGAAGCAGAGGAGGCCTGTGCTTTTGGCACCCAGCTCAGCTGTAGAGCCCCAAGGTACTGTTTCACGCTTCTGTTATTAGAAGAGATGGTGCTAAGAGGACAAGGACACAAGTGCACTGCAGACTCAGCTCAGCATGTGAATCTGCAATCCTTGGCATTACCACAAATTACCACCTTTCCAATCTGAATATTCTGCGTTAAGCTCCACTCAGAAATAGCTCCGTCTGCCAAATTACCACCTTTTCTATCTGTTAGATTCCTTTCTCATATAACTCCAGTGTCATTCAGTGAACTAGGGCATGGAGACATAATCAAAAAATCAACTGTTTTATTGCACAGGAGGGGGGAACTCAAAGCCAGTGTCAATAACTGCTTCCCAAGTTTTTGGGAGCAGCATGTGTTCAGGCTAGCAGTGTCTGAAATGATGGTAAGAGTTAATACCCCTCAGCTCCACCTATGCTAAGGAAGAGTTACATAGAGAGCATACTATCAAGCCATCCCATCTAAGAGTTTCTCACAGGCAGCATCAGTGAAGAAACAAAAGCCTTTCTGAGCAATGCCCTTCTTTTTAAATGGTGCATCATCTGCTAGTAAGGAGTGAAGTATTTCCCTTTAGTGACTGAATTTGAGGCACCAATGTTAGGGCTAATTATTAATTTTTACAAAACTTATTCTAACACTACAAAAATATTGGAAACAATTTACTTTATATTTACCCCTTTGGCAAATATAAAAAAGTTCCTGACCCTGTGAGACAGGATATGAGCACATACCAAATAAAAAAAAAGGAAGTCTTGGCTGTGAGCTAACTAGTTCTGATGCTTTTTACAGAAAAGGAGCGAGTATATGATCACATTCAATAGCCCTGCAAATTCAGGTGGGGCAAAAGACTCCACAGAACAGATGCAACTCTTCCAGACTGAGATGAGTACATAAGAAGGGAATACATTTATAAACATTACCAATACCTGGGAAAGAAAAGCATAACCTTATTATTCCTATTCTATTATTCCTTCTAATTAGCATTTAAAATATATTATTTTAAAACAAAACATGTTTTTTGCTTAAATTCAAATTTGTGACAACTCTCTTTAAACTGTGTTTTTTAACAACCGTTTTGCCCAACACTAAACCCACTAAAAACAGCTTTAGTATAGCCCCTCTGTTCCTTTTCTAATTTTACACAACTTCTTCTAGGTATGCAATCTCTTTTCCTCATTCATTTATTGATTCAGCAGCCTGGTAACCATAATTAACCTGCCAGCAAAATCTATGCATAAGAGAACGCTGCTTAATTAATGACTTGGAGTGCTGGTAGTAATACATATGTGAAATAAA